CAACAGAGAAAATGTTTCGGAATCGACGCACAAAGAATTGCAGGAGCAGCAAAGACACGATGAACGTAAAGAAGAGTCATACGAATACATTTCCCTCTCATTCTCGGTGATTTCGCATTATTTTTCAATAAAACCTTGCGTTAAACGTCTCCTTCAGGTACTCTTTGACGCTGGCTTCTACGTATTTAAAAAAAAACAAGCAAAAGCGATTAAGTGTACAGAGTAAGAGTAATAAAAAGCGTGTGCACAACAGCGCGCGGCGCCAGTAAGTGGCGTGGAACTCCAGTGTCCGATCGATTTGCTAATAATCATGTGCACACTTAGTAACCTGTCTGCCAGCGGTATTGCTAACCAATCCAACCAAAGCGACCTGTAGTCGCGCCTTCATTCCTATTTCATTGATATTAGAAATGTAATGTGATATACGCATCTTAAACCCGGACAAATTAACTTTTACAGACGCACGATGGCTTTAAGCAAAGTAATTATTGGGCTTATGGGTCCAGACATAATTAATCTGACCAGTCTTCTACGCGACTATAAAACTAGCAACTAAAACTAATTGGACACAACCTAGGTAGCCGATAAGCTTACATTAGGAAGAAGGCCGCTGCCCCTTTGTCACACTTCGGAAATAAACCTGCCGTCTTAGAAGGCTCAGAAGTCGGTCGAAAGGTTGGTCACCAATTCCAAATCATTTCCCAAAGCACCCTGAAATTCTGGGCCATTGCATGTATTTGGATGAAACTTGCTTCGATGCCTTATAATTACTTGTTCTATGATAAATGGGTGTTTAACTTAGTGGAAATACAACTTTTGCAATATGAGGACGTATTTTTAACCTGAAAATTGTCCGTATACATATTGACAGTTGTATCTGACTAAACAAACTGTCTCATAGTGCATATGCAGTCCTGCTACGAAATAACAGTACGAAGCACTTAGCCACCAGTGTTACTTAGCTAAACACGATTTCTTCTAAATATACTCTGGCCTATTGTGGTGGCTACCTTGTACTAACCCCCATAGTGATTGTAATCTCCCTCTAAAATTGCCTACCCGTCACGTCCGTAATGACCATTTCCTGTTATCTGAGCCGCCTGAAGAGGCATCTTTGGAATCGTCAATACAGCCCCCAAATGCATTTGACTTTTTAGTATCTGGAGAGGTCCACGACATGGGAGCATCCACGAACAAAAAAGTACATCTAATGACTAGCCAAGGTCTTGAGAAACCTTCATAAAGCCCTAATGCGGCTGCATCACTCAAATGAAAACGCTGGAATTCGTCCTCATTACCACAAAGTTGTCAATACCCACACTAATCAGATTAATCCCAGTCCTCCGCTCATATCACCCGTTCGTTCCGTTGTACCTCACCCCTCTACTGTACCCCTCGACTTTTTCATAACCTTTCTGGTTTTCCTATGGATACAGATTTTACAGGCCGGTACCCGAACACGCAGTTGGATATTGCATACATATAGCAAAGAACTGTTGAAAGCTCCCAACAGTCCACAAAAAGGCTCTTAGGCAGTTGTCTCTGTCCAAAATTCTTCGGGTTATTGCAACCAGCATTAACTATATTTGGCTTGTATTTTGCGTCTGAAAGATTCTGCCAAAGGAACAGTTGAGAATCTAAACTTGCCGCAAAACGGAGCGATTATAGTTTATGTATTCGCAATCCTGATAGTGTTTGCAACATCAAAGTCAATCGTTTATATGTTTCATCCGCAGGTAAAAGCCCGAATTCTGATTCAACTGTTGCCATCTTTTCGACCTATTGAAGTTGATTTGTAATAAGAATCAATCACAACTGTGAGCTGCCTATTGCTTGGCGCTGCGCGAATGTCGGACTCCCTAATGACGACTTGTTGTATGGCGTCTGCGATCGAGTGCGCTATTTTTAACCTAATACAGTCGGCTACTTTGTTACCGCGTAGAAAAAAGACTTAATACAAGATTTTTATTGGCTTTAATGATCTATTCCACAAATATTATTGTTTTTTGGTATTAATACGTCGCGGTGGAAACCACAAGGAATACAGCGTATTGACGCCTTTTGCCTATCCCTGACCGACTTCAATGCGTTTTTTGCCAAGCTAGTTCTTTGAATTGTCCATCTGACGAAAGTTTCGTCACTAGGCAATATGAAAGCGCCTTAAGGCTGGGGAGCAAAGCGCTCTGGTATAGCTCATTGTTACTCCTCATCCGTAGACTATGTAGTGTATGCGAGGTGATATAACTAAAATCAGGCGATCGAATTACTTAAGATTCTTCCCGATTAAATTTAATTTTTGATGAGGAGAGTAACCGCCTCTGTTAAAGACAACGAGCCTTGGGGTAAGTGAGGCATTCAAAAACGCACCGATTATCTCGTAACTCAAAGGGATTGCAAAGTCATCTTTTTACCAACTACCAGTGAGT